AGAAATATATATTTATATATACAATATAACAACAAAAAATAAAACTAATATTAATTGGGCAACAACTGTGGATGGTTAGTTCCAAGACTTGACCAAATATTTGCCATCTTTCTTCTTATTTTTTCCTATCTCGTTTTTTTTTTTATAATGTCTACAAATATATAGATACATTTGTTTCATGCCTTCAATAACAGAAATTCCGCATTTAAGAATATGCATAAGAATTGTTGACACAAAAAATGACACACCAATATCTATTTATTCAGTTTAGAAGCGAAACAAAAGCCGTTAAGCAAACAAAAATGTTAAATAATACAACAAATATTAACTGCCGGCTCAAAGTTCCGAATTTTTTGGGGAATACCACACAGATGTTCACTCTGGATACGACATTAAGTCAACTAAACTTAATTAAACTCAACTAAACTTAACTAAAAAAAAAAAGAAGAACAGAAAAGAAAAGCAAACTTAACTGTGGGAAAACACGCAGCAAAAATGTGGCCAGGAAAATATTTTTCTTTTGGCTAACGCGTGTGGGCCATAATCGGAACGTGTTTTTCGGTAAAAACTATCTTAAGGTGGTCACCAAAAAAATACAGAAACACTTCCCGGTGAAATATTTTTGAAAACATCAATAAATTACAAAGTCAAGGAAATTATCAGCGCCGAGACGCGTCATCGGCACATCATCAAAAATTGCCTTGGAAAAGAAACAATAACAAAATCAAGACAAAAGTTCAAAATACGTTTCATCAAAATATAAAATATATATATATATATGTATGTAAAGTAGGCGAAAAATGTGCGAAATAAAAGTATAAAAATAAAACGAAATGTCCCCAGAAATATGCAAACGAATTGTGACGTGAAATTGATTCAATTAAAATCTTTTATGACGTGACAATTGAATTCTATTTTCGCCTCTAATTGGAACTGATTGTAGTTTCGCCCCATCAACCCCGAACAAGATTCCGCCAACAAAAAAAAATAAATAAATAAATCGGTGTACTACTCATATATGTTCTACTATATGTTCTCTCAGCATATATCCCAAAATGTGTGTTCAAGTACACTTGCACCCTTTCTATTCTCGGAAATGACGGAATATGTATCTTTACGTATCTCAAAGTATCCAAGAAAAAGAAAAGTGTCGCATGCCCCCTGGACGGTTGCCTGACTGGCTGGCTTTTCTTTTCCTTAATTTATATTTCTCTTAATTTTTTTCGGTTAATACTAGATGCTTTACCTTAATAAGAACTATGACAGCATTTTAAATGATTTTTCTATAAGTGTGCAAAAATATGGCACACGTCCCGAGTCGGTGGATAATATCTATATATCTTTTGCTTAAGACCATTTATTATATTCTTTTAATGATACAATTATTTGTATACCGAACCTAAATTGTTTAAATTGTTGTCATTTGGATTTACAATGTAAAAACACATTGTATTTAAAGCAAATTGAAGGTCATTTAATATAGGAATGTCTGACTATATAAGGGCTTGTTTTGTCTGGTTGTAGTATTTATTAAATTAATTAGGTTTTAGGTATTGAAAAAAGGATTTGATTGTGTTTTTAAAACAGTTTAAAATAAGTCAAAACGTATGTTTTGTTTAAAGATATTTATTGTATACTTTTTGAAGCTAGAAAACCCTTTTTTAACATCAAAATAAGAATTTGCTTTTGATTTGAAATAAAAAATCTATAAGTCATAATAAAAATGGTCTTGAAAAATATTTTAAACATATATGTTTAGGCTAGCAAAATTTTGTTACATTATTTTTAGTATATTATAATTATTGTTGGTTATTATTATATATTTTTATATATATCTTCTAGCTTCAAAATATATTTTTTAGACTATATTTCCTAGCTAACCATTCATTACCCCTTCTCTGAGTTTATCTACTTTCTTTCTGCTTACATATATATTATAGATTGCCTTATTTAAGCTTAAATAATTGCTTATACAGATAAAGCTAAACAATTACCCAGGTTACTCATGACTGAAAATAAAATACAAAAAAAGCGTTGAATTTATATAAAGGCATGACTTAATATCGGCACAAAAGATTTACTAGATTATTGTACAAGATAAAGTTGAAAGGAAAGCCTCACTTTTAATAAGTTCCTGACTTGTTTAGCCTTTTTTTTTCTTTCTAAAGTATTAAAAGCGACTTATTGACAAGAGTTAATCTGTGCAATTTCTTCCTACTCTTGATTTTTTTTTTACATATATATGTATGTATATATTTTTCTTTTAACCACAGCCTGTTTTGGCCAATTGCAATGTTGCCGCTTTTCAGCCAAGTTCATAGTACCCATCCATGGCCCAACAACAAGTTGTGGGCCTAGCCCAAAAACTGGTTGCCCAATTGTCTCTTCCCCTGGCTGATCGCGAGGCAGCGATTGTTGCCGTTTGTGTAACTACTGCAACATGGTGCACTGAGAGAAAAATTAAGGCACTAACATGAAGAATTTATAGGGAAAATTTTTAAGTTTTAAAAATATTATGGTATTTAATAATAAATAAATAAAAAGCCGAACTTGGCAGTTGTGAAGCGAACCTTGCATTTTCCATTGATCATAACTTAGCCAAAAATGCCTTAATTTGAATTCGGAAAACTGTTCTATGCTAGGTTTTATAATGTTAATAAATCTGCTTACTCAATTTATCATTTTAACAAATTTAAAATTTTGCCAATTTTTTGAAAATTTTAACCATTTTGAAAAAATGTCGAAAATTTATCTTTCGACCAGACATGGCTAGATCGACTCGGCTGTTCATGCTGATCAAGAATATATATGATTTATGGGGTCGGAAATGACTCCTTCACTGAGTTTTAAGCTTCTGACTAAAAATACTTTGCAAGGGTTACAACGGTGCGTATACGTAATTTTTTAAATTAAAGGGGTATATTCGTTAATAATAAGTAGTGAAACAAATTGAATATTATTTTATAACATCTAAAATATGTTTAATTTTATTCGTAAGCTTCTGATTAAAAAACTCTGCAAGGGTTACACCGGAGCGTATACGTAACGTGCGTATACGTAATTTTCGATTTCTTTATTTATAAATTATCATTCATGGTGAATATTTTTATGATTTCTAAAATAAGATTTATCTTAATTGAGTTTAAATATTATGTCCCTCTTGAAACTATTTAGGACTCCCAAGAAATTTAAGTTCATCTAAAATACCTGAGTATATATGTATATTTAGCTTTAATTTGATACCCGCTTCTATAGCAAATTATCCAAGCAAAAATAATAAACTAGGGTATAAAAAACCTTAAAATAAAAATTAAAAATCACAGTAACGTATTTTTCTTGTCATAAAATAATCTCTTTATTAATAATATCAATCTTAGATTTTTAAAACAGTCTCTTATTTACTGCCTCTTGTATTCCGGTTTAATAAATTCCACAAAAATCATCGCATTTCTCTCAGTGTAGTTGCCATGGCCGTGGCAGTAACGGGTTGTGCGGCAAAACAGCGTTGCCGCTCTTCACTCGTTCGGTGGCTGCTGAAAGAAAGTTGCACCCGCAACAAGCTTAATCCGCCCCTGAACCCCCTTGGGACGCCCCCCTTTGGTTTGCAGCAGAAAAGAAAGCCGTTTTGTTTTAATTTTTTCCACAATTATTTTCCGCTAGCGCAGGAAAAATTATATGCTTTTATTTTTTGTAATTTTTTTTTTTGCCTTTGTTTTTTCGCTCTGTATGTGTTGTATGATTTTTTTCACAAAATGTTTTTGCTTGTTTTGGTTACAAATTTCTCACAATTATTTTGTTGGTTTTACGCAATAAAAAAACTTAACATTAAATACAATATATTTTTGTTTTTGCTTTGTTTGTAATAATAAAAAATTAATACATGTATTTTTTTCGTATTTTACTTGTTTATTTCTTTCATTCTCTCTCGCTTTTTGTTGTTGTGTGTAATAAATAGTTTTTTTTTGCTTTGATAGATACTTTTTGCTGGTAATAGATACTTTCGTGTTTCGTATGTGTGTGGTGTGTGTGTGTGTGGATGGTGTGTTGTATGTGTATGTATGTATTTGTGAGAACATTAAGTTTTCCTTGTTACGTTAATTGTAATTTTTACAAATTATATCGCATTGCATTTTTAAGGTTTTATATTTTATTTTATTTTTAAATTTGAAATTTGTTTATTTGCTGGATTTGTATTATCGCTGGCTACATTAAGGTTTAATTAATTGTTTTTTATATCGCAATTGGAGTTTTACACAGACAAAAAAAATTTTACAAATTTTTTACGCTTTCACATTTACTGAGATATTTTTCATTGCCTTAAACATTACGCTTGTAATTTATTCTCTCTTGTTTTTTTTATTATTATTTTGTATTTGTTTTCTTTTTTTTGTGGTGAATTTTTCTTTTTTACTTTTGTATTTTTGTTGTTTTTTTGTTTCGTTTTGTTTTGTTTTGTGTGTAGTACGCGCTAAACATTTAATAATATATAAAAATTTGTTAAAATCCTAAAATTTGTTGGTTTTAATTAATATTAATTAATAATTTAAAAAATTTTTATTGCAGCAAGCTGCGTCTAACTAAAATTGGAGCGTGTGTTCTCATCCTCGCCTCCGCATCTTCCTCTCACTGGGACGAGACGGTGGATGGAGGGAGGCCCTCTTCTCAGTTTTCTTCTTTTCTTTTTTTGTTTTTAAAGTTAAATTTTAAATTTACCAAGATCAAGTTTGTTTGTTTTGTTGGTTTTGTTGTGTGTGTGTGTGTGTTTTGTGTTGTGTTTTGTTTATTACCTATATAGCATACAATTTTAAAAAAAAATCTGTTCACATTTGAATCGTTTTGCTGTTGTTGTTGTAGTGTGTGGTGTGTGTGGTGTTTTGTGGTGTGTGTGGTGTGTATGGTGTTTTGTGGTGTGTAATTTTATCAAACATCCTCGGCCGGAATTGGTCACCCTCCCCGGCCGGAGGACTCTTAGCATCTTAAACAGTATCACATATTCATGAGTTGTCGACCGGCGAGACCCCAAAAATCGAGTTTAAGGAGGGGGAAAAAGGGAAAAGAAAAAGGAAAAGGGAATTTCCCTTTTCCCCTACCCTCCCCCCCTCCCCTCCCCTTGCTCGGTGGGGCTGCCGTCTTTGAATTTCATGTTGGTTTTTTTTTTCTTTTAAACTTCGCTCGCTCCTCGTTTCATTTCGTTTTGTTTGTTTTTCTTGCTTTTGCGTATTTTGTTGAAAAAGGAGAAACAACTTAAAACTCTAGTTATATATATTATTTTTTGTTTTGTTTTGTTTTTTGTTTATAGCACTACGCATCTAAGTAAAATGGTGGTGAGAGTCACAATTACAAAAATCTTGGGCCTGGGCGGTCCCCTATATAGTATTAGTATGAGAGTGTGGTTGGCGTACCCTAATGTGTGTGTGTTGTGTGTTGTGTGGTGTGTGGTGTGTGGTGTGTAGGTGGGGTGGCTTCGAATACTTGCTTCGTTGTTGCTGCTCCTGGCGAGTGGCAACAAACTACTGCTCTCGATCATCACAGGGTTGGTGTTTTTTTTCTTCTTCATCTTCTTCTTACTTCCTTCCTTCCGCAGACATCCTCTGGACCGGACAAGAGGCGACGGCGTCCTAGTTGGTGGGCGTGGCAATGGCCGCACTGGGCCGACTATGGGCATGACTGCCAAAGCTATAGCTACGCCTGGCACCCAAACCATCGGCCGAATACAATTTATTCTTGGTAATCGTATATTCCGGACTAATGGTAATCGTGCGGGCCAAACTCTTCATGAATTGCGGCAACAATGACGTCCAGCCGCGATGATCCTGACGCAGTGTTAGGTACACCTCAAAGGTGGACACCGTATCGGGATCCACCTTGATCGAGGCAATGCGACGCGAATTCTTCGGCTCATCCTCGAACTCAATGTAAATGGTGCAGCCGCGGATGCCGCAGGGTTCCTTCTCCGAAACGCGGAAAATTTCCCGGGCCACGCTCGGCGTGAGATCACATGGTAGCGACACCTCTGTGCAGGTCAAATGACGTGATTTGGCCGCCCTCAGCTCATCCAGCAGACGTGCGGACAGCTCGTCGATGGCCTTCATGTCCAGAGCCTGGCCATAATAGCTATTGCTGGTGCCCAGCACCTCCTCCTCGTCGCCATAGAAGAAGTTGCTGTTGTAACTGCCGCTGGGCTTGGTTTTCTTGCTGCCGCTGGCATTACCATTGCTCGCTGGCTGCTTGTGCTTAATACTGTTGCTGTGGCTGTTGGTGTTGCTGTTGGTGTTGTTGGTGTTGCTGTTGGTGTTGCTGTTGGTGTTGCTGTTGGTGTTGCCACTGGTGGCAGTTTTGGCCTTCTTGGGCATAACAGCCACAGAGGCGGCGTTCTCCACGGTAACTGGCCGTGTCAGTGTGCTGGTCCAATCTAAAATTAATAATAAAAAAGAGGGAAATATGGGTATAAGTAAAAAGTTCATTCTTAAAATTTCTTATGCTAATAATTCTCAACTAACTATTTGGAGTTATTTTTATTTATGCTTAAAATTCTCAACTAACTTTTTGGAGGTAATTTATTCTTGTAACTGTAAAAATATATCCTAATGTAAACATCTCTGTCTCTCTACCTTTCTCTAGGTGTGCCTCTTTCTACATCACAAATAACGAATCGTAAACGGAAAGCAAAAAACAAACAACTAAAAGGCAATGAGCAACAGCCGCTTGGCAACAGCGAACCTCAGATAAAAGCGGAACGAGCACAAAGAGTGTGTGTGTGTGTGTGTGTGTGTAAAAGCAGAGGGCAAAGAGCCCAAAAAAAAAATTAAAAAAATAAAACCGAAGCAAAGAAAACGAAAAATCATTTTTTATTACTTCTGCTGCTGCTGGGGGGCGCTCCGGTTTTTTGTTTCTCACTTTTTACATTTTAATGTATTATTTTTTTGTTGTTGCAATTTGTGTACGTGACTGTGTTGTTGCCTGTTTTTTATGACATTTTTCTTTTGTAAATTGTAAATTGCAAATTGATTTTTTATGCATTTTTTTGTTTGCCCTTTTTTTGTTATTGTATAAATGTAAATTACTTGTGAATTTAAGTGCCAAAAGGGCTGATGAAATTTACAAAGAGGATTTCAAAGAGGAAACAAAAATAGGAAATGAAAATTAAATCAGGAAATATTTTTTAAATGAAAACGGGAATTTCTTTAAAAACACGACAGAATTTTCTGGAATCTTTTTCATCTTTTCAAAACTGTTCAAAATAAATCCTCCCTTTTTTTTCAAAACATTCAAATCTGTGGATTTTTCTGGAACTTTCTTATGTTTTCTTTTCACAAAAACTTACCTCTATTTTTGTTTGATCCCAGAACACTGCCGTAGATACTTTGCACGGGAATAACATCCATTTTCATTGGTTTTTCTGTGTGTGGTGTGGAAAAGTCGAAAATCGAATCGAAGAATATATTCGTTCGAATGTTCGTTCGCTTCTCGTTTTGCCGACGGCTTTTTGTTGTATCACTTTTACGTTGAATTAATTAATTAATTATTTACTTTATCACAATTTGCTGTTTGTTGTTTTTTTTTTGCTGATTGCTTCGAATTTTATATTCTCTTCATTGGATTCTTGTTGCTTGCAGTTTAAATTAACATTTCTTGTTACTTGGTTGTTGTTGTTGTTTTGTAGTGGAAATCACAGCACTTATGTTGTTTAAACTTTTATTTGTATTATATTTTGTTGTATCACTTAAATGGCGTTGGTCCGTTGCATTTGTTTGATGGCAATTAATTAATTATTTTAATTATTTAGTAGTAGCATAGAATTCTTCGTGAAACAGTTTCTGATGTGTGTATGTGTAACAGTAGAAAATATCTGGCTATGCACGTTTCTGCTGCTGCTTCATCGGTCTAACTTTTCTGGCTGTGAACCTTCCGTTCTTGTTTGGACTGAGTGTGTTTTTTCTTTCTTGCTGTTTTTATTTCGAAGCTACTATGGCTAGCTCTGCCGGTGCGCGGCCTTATATAGCCCACCCGGCCTCTGCCGGCAACGACGTCGGGCTGCGGGCAGAGCCAGAGAGTGAGCGAGTGGTGGTGGTGGCTCTCGCTCTCGCGGGAGCAACAATTAGCAGAGAGCCATGTGTGCCCTCTCGCTTGCACTCCAGCTGGCTGGCCGCCTGTGGGGGTGCAGAGCGAGCGAGAGGGAGAGACCATGATGGCTGATGTAAGTTTTACACTCACTCAATCAGTACGCTCTCTCTCTCTCCCTGAATGACTCTCAACAGCTGTTTCACTCTGCTCTTGCAGGCAGCGTCCATCTCGCTCATGCGCACTTACAACCCGGCCGGCGGCACGCTCTCTGCCCAAAGAGCCAGACAGAGATGGAGCACCGGCGTACGTGACTCTTGCGAGTCTCACGCAAAAAAATAAAAAGAGGCAATGAGGAAAAGCCGAAAAGGAGAAAACCAGGCAAAGGACAACGGGTGTGTGGGGGGGGGGAGGATAATGGAAATGTTCTCCCGCAAGGAAAAAGAGGAACAAAAAAACCAACCCTGCCATTACTGCGCTGCCGGCGTCGACGCGAGCAGCGGCCGGCTGAAATTTTCCACTCCGAAACCGAAACTCAGTTGCAACTCGCCAACTTGCAACATGCAACATGGCAGCGGCGCTGTTGCCAGGCGCTGAAAATTGGAAACCCAGAAAGCGGCTACCAGATACGAGATACAAGATACGAACGTATCTTTCGAATTTCCTCGTATTTTCCAATGCAAAAAATGCAAATTTTTGCCTGCTCTCTTCGCCGCTGCGCGAAGTGAAAAGAACAAAAATCTCTAGAGGGGCAAAATAAAAAGAAAAACCCGTCAAGTTGCGGAAAATGCGTGCGAAAAACCTCAATCAAAGTGACAGAAAGTACAAACTAAATTTTTTGTTAATAAATTTAAGGGAAAATTTTGGATTTTTGAATAATTTTTAAAAGAATATGTAAAGTGATTTAAAAAATTTTTTCAAAGTATAATTTAATAAACCTTTTAAGAAGTTTTATAATGATTTTCAAATTTAATATTAAAGTTTTTAAAAGAATATGTAAAGTTTTCAAAAATTATTATATTAACCACAAATTTCACAGGATTTTTATTTATAAAAACACTTTTAAATTCATAAAAATGTTTAAAAAAATGTTTGTTTTCCTTAAATAATGCAAATAAATATACTATTTTAGTTCAAAAATGTGTGGAAATAAATGTTTATTTAATTTATTTGATGAAATTCTAATTTTTAAAGTGCTAATATATATAATTTTGTTATATTTAGGATATTTCTTTATTTAGAAAGGTTTATTCTCTTTAATATTTTTAATTACTAATTCATAATTTAAATAAATTTCAAAAAAGGTTCTTACAAAACCGGAAAATGAATAAACCAATAATATTTCACAAAATATGTATGTTCTTTGTGGTATTTAATTTCCTGATTCAGCGCCAAGTTATCTTATCTTTTGTGAAATGCATCGAAAAATATAAATTTTATGAAATTTTCATTGTATGAAATTATGTTTCAGCATTATAAATACAAGCATAAAATATATGTAGACACTTTTCCGGGAAGCTCTAATAATTTTCACATAAAATAATGCCTTAGATATAGACATAATATTCCGTTCAAATCGGTGACGAATTTCATCATAATTTTTAAATTAAATTTATGCTCACTCAAGGAGACCCGATAATGTATATAAAACCTGTTCTTATGAAAATTCCAAGAATTTCATCAGCAAATAAAAATTGTAAGCGGGATATATGATAATAATTTCATATTCATATCATGATCTCTGGCCTGTGTGTCCTTTCATTTCAATTGAATGCATTTTCCTGCCATCTTCAGTCTCCATTTTCCTTTTTTTTTTCATATATATTTATATATGTATATATTTTTATATTCATCTTCTGTCGTGTTCTGTTGCCATTGTTGTTTGCTGACCAAAAGCTGAGAAGATGATGCTGCACGTAGATTGAAAACGAAAGATTGAAATGTATCTCATGGATACCCCACACACACTTGCACACTCACACGCAGCACTTCATCTCTCCTCCCCCGCCAGATTCAACTTGTCTTGATGCTGGCTCAAATAAATAAAATCAAATTTCTTTCAGATTGAAATGAAATTCCATGAAGCACAAACGCATCTGTATCTGGAATACAGGAAGGATTTTTTAAAATACAAAATTTAAAATAAAAATGCTTAAGTTGTGAAATATTAATATAAAATTAATAAGGCATTAAATAAAACGTATTTTTTGTAAAAGAAATCATGTAAAAATACTTAAAAGGCGTATCCAAAAAAGATTCTTGGGAATTATAAGCACTTTAGCTGAAGTTTTTGACTTACAGCTTAGAAAAAATATATATATTTTGTATCTAAAGTATCTAAATACCTCTTAATATATTCTAAATATATTTTACAATATATTTTCTTTAAGATACTTTTATTTTTTCTTGGTGTAAGTTCTAAAAATTCAACTCATGTGTGTGTGTGTGTTTGTGCCTGTATCTTAAGGATATCTTTCGTGCCACATTAGCTTTATGTTTGCATGTAGATGTGTTTTGTCAGATAATAAATGAATTGAAACGAGAACTTCTTTTGTTTGTTTCCTTGACTTTGGCACATTGCAAAATGATTTCATTGATAAACCTGAGAGCGGTCTTTTGAAATTTCGCAATATTTGAAATGTGACCCATAGAAAGGCCTCCTCCAAAGACCTGTAAACCAGCTTGATTAGATACAAAGAAAAAAATAGGCAAAAGATACAGAACAAAGAACTATGATTCAGATTTATAGAGGTTAATGATCGGCGAACTTTATGGTTATTTATTTTGTGGAATAAAAAATAGACAAAGATTAAAATACTTTGAGATACTTTCTACATTCGATTACCATTACCTTTTCAATCTCAAAAAATACAAATTTGTTTTAAAATTTATTTTGATTACTCAATTTACATAAACATAAACAGTTAAGCGGAGTTTAATGTACAATAATTTCGATTTTTTTTGTGCAGAAAATTTTCGCTGGGTAAATCAATCAACTTTTCGAGATTGAAATCCACTTTCCAAACTGTTTCCTTTGTGACTTTGCGATACATCATCAGCCATGGCACATGGATATACATACATATATATAGATACATATATATATTATATGTAAGTGTGTTTGTGTAGAGAACTTTCCCTCGATGGCGGTGTGTTCTCTCTGCTTTTCCGGGAAAGCAATTTTCACAAAAGTTTATGCTTTGGCTTTCGCTCTGGCAGCGGCTGCATGGCCCCCTCGAAGGCAATTTGTAAATTTAAATTAGTTTTACTAAACACAACACATTTTCACCCCGGCACACACACACACATATGCATAAATTTTCATTAAAAAAAAATACATATAAGAAAAAGAAAAGCAAAGCGGGGCCAGAACGTGTGCAGAACCCAAGAAAATTATCAAGAACAAGTTGGGGTTTTTCATTTTCCAGTGTTTTTTTTTTCTTAGCTTCTTAGAAACGGGTGGCAGGTGAAAATCACCTAAAAATTGTGTGCAAATTATCCATTTATCTATAGCAGGGAGATCGACTTTCGGGGAAACCTCTTAAAAAAGAGATATAAAAAAATAGACCGCAAACTTATGACGAGCATAAATTTTTGAAAAGTTCATTGTGCTGCGGATTGGTACTTCTCAGATACAGATACATTTCCGGTCTGGCAGCCAAAGTTAATGCCAAGGAATTTATGCCAATTAATTTATGGCTCTGTGAAATTGGTAAATGGACAGCAGAGATAAGCTAATTTGATAAAGCTGTTTCGCGATCGATCCCAGAGATAACGCGATTGCGATTTGTGGCAATTGAAAAGCGAAAATCAAATTTATTGTTCAGCCAGATATTTATCGATGACGTGGTAGAGGGAATATATATTATAAAATATGTGTAAATAAATTACCTAAAATATTTATAAATAAATATATTGATTTTTTAAGCTCACACACCAAGAAAAAATATACATTTTAAGAGTTTATAGGACAAAAAACAGGATTTTAAAATCATATGTCAACTTATTTGTTCAATTTTATAATAAAACCAGTTTTTTAATGCTTATTGTTTTTATAAATATTTTTATTATATAAATAAACCTTATTTTCAATCAAAAAATTATATTCCCCAAATGTATCTCAACCTGAAAGACAAATATCTTTTGCTGGGAAACGAAAAATGAAATTCAGAAACCAAAAACGGCATGCATGGCGCCATCTAGTGTGGAGAGTTTCCTTAGGATAGAAAAATTTCCAAAAGAAAATTACTTTTAAGGCAAAAAATAATATTAAATAGTATCTTAGCCTAAAATAAATTATAGGAATATATTTTTATGAATATATATTTAATATATTCTAACATTTTAGCTAGCAAAATACGAAGAATATTAATAAAAACGCAATCTAAAAGTAATATATATCATATTGTCTTAGCTTTAAAATCAAATTTAAATTAAAAAACATTTTTATGATGGAATTAAAATATTTGATGCATTAAAATTAAAAAAATAAATTAATGAATAAAAAATCTAACATAAAACGTCTCTCTATACAAAAGAAAACCATATTTTTCCCTTAAACGAAAAATCGGAAACCGAAAACGGCATGCATGGCGCCACCTAGTGAGCATAGTTTCCATACCTAAAGGCGACGTGACCGGCAGAGCGTGCGAGAGATGTGACAGTTTTTAAGAGAGGCAAAAATAGATAATAAAAAAAAAAATAAATAAACAAAAAAATAAACAACTAAAAGATACAACAGAGAAAACTCAAACAAGAAAAGAAAGATTTCTTCTGGGAAAATGGTCAGAATTAGAACAGAAATTAGATTTCAATTGAATTGCGTTGAAAAGTGTCCCATGGATGCATAATTGATTTATGCAAAAATGCGGGAAAAACAGGGAAAACTGCGGG